GGTAGAGGCCAGAGGTTCTGGGAGGGGGGTGGTGAGGGGGGAGAGGATTCACCAGAGACAGAGTGGGGAGCAGAACAGGCAGATTGACCAAAGCACACTGTTGAGGGGAGCAGCGGGCAAGTCAGGAGAGAACTGCTGCGCCATATGGATTGCTCCGTGGCTACCTGGGGATCGAACTCCTGCTGCAAAGGTTGCAGATAGCTTCATAGGTTGTGTGTTAACCCCTTGTGCCCAGGGAGGCCCAGCAGAGCAGTTTTGAAGAGAAGATGGGATGTTCCATTTGGGATATATTTAGTTAAAAGTGTCCGCAACATACAAGTTCAGAACCGGGTAGTCTGTTTAGTACGGGTGAGAGATCTGAGCCACAGGAAGAGATTGTGACTGATCCCACATACGTGATCGATGATTACCATCCCAGGAAGTGTGTTTATATACAAAGAATATGGGATATTTTACCTTTCCCTTTATTCGGGATTCTTCCAGGCAAACAGTTTCCTAATAATTGCATCCTGTGAATAACATCTTCAGTAGCATGCATAATATTCTCTCATACAGACATACATTTACCTAACTGGTCAGATAGTGTCCTTATGCTATACTATCTCAAAAACCCACAACAAATATTTGCATTCCCCAAAATTAGTTGCATGGATGTTAGTAAACAGTAGGTGGAGAAAAGTCTTCCATGGTCAACAAATACATTTGGAAAACCTTAGTTTAAAAAACTCTTCCATAGTGTTCTTTACTATGATTTCTCAAAGCTTAAATTGCTACACAGCACTATGTCTCTCTAAGACGGTACCTCCTGTGTTAGTTTGTACCTGGGTAAACCTTGAGCTGTGGCGTGAGGTTTGGAAGGAGTGTTTTCAGAACTAATGACCGTGGATTAGATTCAGGAGATCCTAACCTGTATGCATGCACTGTGCCAGATTTCAACACATAGTTGTAGAAATTGAATAATTAAATTAGGAAGAATGAATGTTTGTGTCTTTTATGCACCTTCCAATGCCTTTTCCATTGCTGGTGGGAATATAACATTACACGTCACATGCCTGTTTCAACCTCCCCTGCCACGCACTGCATTGTTTAAATCTGAGCTGGTTTGGTAGCTTTTCTGTGACTTAGAGAGGCTCAACACTTCCCTGTTGCGATTACTTGCTGCTCCTTTTGTGACTACCCTTATGAGATTTTTGCCTAACTTTTGGGATCTTAGCTCTTCTTATGAAGACAAATGGTCTATTTTTATAATCAGATATTAATGCAAAATTTCATGTAGTTGTGCAGTCATTCTTCCAGTTTCATTTTATCATTTTTATCATTTGAGTTCTTTTGAACATATGAAACTTCTACAATTGTACAAAACAGTTCCTCAAAGCATTTCTTTTTACAGTTTCTTCACTGGTTTAATTCTGAAAATCCTTTTACAAAGATTTATCTAGATGTTTCATAAGCTCTTCTTGCTTTGTTGTTAATATTAACTAGTAACTCCTCTAAAATATATATTAATTTATCTTGCTGCCCACCTCCCTCCCAAAAAAAAAAAAAATACAACTAAGTTCCACAGCACTGATTGCTGAATAATTTCTCTTCCCAAATTATTTTGCCTGTGTAGTCTTTAATTATTTTTTGTAAAAAACATTAATTTTATCCATTTCCTAAATTAGCAAATTGAGATGAATGGCAACTTATTAGTGTTCACTTACTTTGCTGAACTTCGGTCTGGAGACATACATGTATATTGATCTCAGTGTGGTGGAAACCGTGACATTTGTCAACTGACTTACACTCAATTTGTATGTGATCAAAATTTCCTTGGAAATTTTTCCATGGAAAAGATCTCTAGGCAAAACGGAAGACTAGGCTATTAAAGACATTTGAAAATTAAGAAAAATTTTGTTAATCAGTGTCAATAATAAAAGCCTCCACTTTACAAACCTCCATTTGTAAAGTGGAGGTTTCATTTTCACAATCCACGTTACCACTGAGGAAGCTGAGACTCAGAAGTTACTCCCCCAAATCTGCTGCGTGGGGAGAGGCGGGCCAGGACTACTTCCTAGGCTGTTTATCACCAGTGCTGCACCAACTGGGGTCCCAGGATGTAATCCTTGGACTCCCCAAAGGACGATCTTGTCTAGCTAGTGTCTATAACCTGCAGGGGTGAGGTCTGGCACACCTCTGACATTAGAACGCCAAAGGAGGGAATGCACCGCTGAAGCTTATGGACACATTTAAATCCTGTCTCCTGTAAGACTGAACTTGGGTCTCTGAAGGTGAAGCATTCACTCTAGTGTGGGAATGCAGATATCAAGTGATTCCTTCATTGCAGGTCAGAAGGTAAGCCCCTCTTATCTGTTCAAGCTCTTTGACTTGACTAAGTGCACCAGCTCACATTTTCTCAAAGACCCTTTCTCTGCAAGTTCACTTGGAAATTTCAGAAGAATCCCTCATTCCTCTGCCACCACTGGTGTTTACAGGCAGCGTTGGTTCATTTTTGAACCATTTGAACCTGCGTGGCCCGATGTGGAGCCAGCGTCGCTCTGCAGAGACAAGTGGTTGTTTGTTCCCTAGGCGGGACCTGTGCCCTCCAGTTTGCTAGCTTTGCAGCTCCGATCCTTTCTCAAGTCCCCCCGCCTCCACCCCAAGAGCCACTTTTGTGGCAGATTCCATTTGGTTTCACAGGACCTCAAGGAGCGGTGGTGGGGGCCCCTTGGCATGTCCCACCAAGCTCCCCACATTAGGAGCAATTTGCAAACTGCCCTCGGATGCAGCGTGAGCCCAGCCCCAAACAGGCTGCTCCTGTTCCCCATTGTCTGCAGCCGGGGCGCCTTTTCCCAGCTGACCTGCCTGTGAGTGGAGAGATGTGAAAAGTTAGAGACAAAAATGGTTTCTACAGAATGAGGGGGAGCTTTCTTGTACAGAAAGGAAGGAAATACCTCTGTGGGATTTTATTTTTTCCCCCCTCTTCATCCCAAAACACAAAGAGTCTCTCTGTCTTTAATGCGAATGTCGGCTTTAAATCTTTTAGGTTTGGATTAACTCCGCAAAAGAAAAAAAAAATCTGACAGGCTTTCAGATATGACACAGAAAAACTTTTTTCCCCTCAATTCATGTTGTTCATTTGTAAAGCCAAAGACTGGTGGACTGAATAGTGAGAGCCAGTTGCTCCCCATTCATAGTTAACATCACAATGGTCAGAATTAGCAGCCAGAGTCTCCTCCACCACTTGCCTTTTCCACCAGAAGACATTTAATACAAGGTGGCAAAGGCAAGAATAAATCTTTCTTCTCTTGCCCCTCAAATTAAAATCGATTAAAATAAAGCCAAGTAAATGAGGTATTTTCAGTTTTGTGATGCAGAATCTTGTCTTACCCTCTCCCTCCAGAAGAAAAATAGAAATTTGGTTTTTCTTTCTTTTACAGTTGTTACCTCACTAAAAAGCTTCCTTCACTCCAAACAAAACCTGCTGGCTTGGGAGACATTTCCTATTACATAGTTATTGTTGGTTTTCACTATTGAAGATGTCAGCAAACATATAGTAGATCATGTTTTGCTTATAAAATAAAGTGACTTTTATGTGACTATTCCTCAGCCTGTTGGTGTCGGGAATATGGGTGCTATTCTCTGGTATCCACGTGGCAACATTTATTTTCTGAAATTTGTTGTTATAGCACATTTTTATTTTAAATGTGTTCAGAGCTATTTAATCCTAGACAGGGGAAAACCTTTGCTTCCTTGAAACAACAGTCTGTTTCAATACACTTGTGTTAACATTGAAAAAAATTTTAAGCAGCACTTCCTGGCCTCCAGTGGAGAGTCAAATGAATAGGTAACCTGAAACATAATTTAAAATTAGTAATATTTATATTTGATAAGGATTGATTGATTTGGACTGAATGGTTTATGTGTGATTGTGAAACTCGTAATTTTTAATTCCTGAAATACACCTGATTTTAAAAAGAGCTGGGATTCTATATTTCTGAATAATATACGTTATAAACCAGTGTTACCTTAGTAAAAAAAATTGTTATATAAAAAATCTTTTGTGATTTTTAGTAGGGTAGTGCTTGAGTTAGTTGGCTACTTTTTAATGGAGTTTATGGATTTAAATAGGTACTGCAAATAAGAGCAAAGAAGTAGAACAAAAAAAATTTTTGGTATAATTGTACAGCACTATCTTTAAGGTCTGTGCAATCTAATTATATTTCAAAGGTATATTTTTTCTATAATCACAAATAGCTAATTGAATTTATTGATTTTTAATCATAGAATAATTTTCTTTGCAATCCAAAAGGTTCTGTTAAAGCTATTTGGGATTTAATACAAAAGAATTGATTAAAATTATTTTTTAGTACACTTTTAATTGGGTTTTAAATACTAGATATATAGTTTGATCTTAATGATAACAGCCTACCACCACAACAGGTTATGTCAATATTTGAACAAAATTTGCAGTTATTACTATTATCAACCAAAAGTAATCAAATTGTTATTTTCATAGATACCTTAATTTGATTATGCTATATTATGGCCTGAGTGATTTTTAATATGTATTATTTTATAAAAATAAAGTTAATTTCCATTTACCAGAAATTATCTATTTAGTTTCTAACTAAGATTTATTTTGTATGTTATATTATAGTAGTAGAATTTAATCTAGAGTATATTTGAACTTTGCACAAAAAGACTGATTTTAATTTTCTAAGTTATAATAGGTTGAAATGTGTTACTACATGTATTGACCACAATAACAATGTTTCATAAAAACATGAAGATTTGGCACATCATAAAACTTTGCAACATTAGCTACTTGAGGGGAAAAAATAGATATAGTAAAAGGGTTTCTTTTAATTCAAATATTTTCCAAGTTTGAATCCAGAGTTCTTATTTAACCTCTTGCAAAATGGGATTCTTAAAATTATTTTACTTAAAATCATATGAGAACTGAACGCGAATGATACAGTTGTTGGTTTTTAAGTAATATTGTTTGATGGCTTACTCAGGCAGCCATGTTGTTTAGCTCCGGAGTCTTTTGGATGGGACTGTTATTTATCCCCGTGGCATCTCTGCTCCTTGATGTGGCTCACAAGGTGTAAGTATAATTCTCAATTTTGTACATAAAAATATAGGTGCTTATTAATCCTCAGTTTTCTCCAGCTGCAACATCAATTCAAGAATATAGACTTTGTGAAATAGGAAGTAGTAATATTCATAAATGAATAAATAAAAAAGGAGTAACTGAGGAACTAGAAAACTAAATTAGTTTAAAGGACAAAGGCTGAATGAGAGCAAAAGCAGGTAGTTTTGGTTAGCATTTGAGAGTACCTTTTTAGAAGTCAGCTGGAAAAAAAACCTATTGAAGAAAGAAGAAAAAAATTTTTACAAAGTGTGTATGTTAGTGAACAATAATTATTAAAGGAAATTTTTTGCTTGTTGCTTTCTAAACATATATAAAATATAAAATGGAAAAAATTAAAGTTTTATTAATCTTTCACAAAGATAAGTTTTTAAAATGTCTAACTGCAAAAAAAAACTTTAAATGTAATTATGATCCTTATTTAATAACTATGAAAATTTTAATATTATGAACCTAAACCATTTATTTTTTATTATTATTTCTATAATTCTATTAATGCCCAACATTACTATAATCTTTTAGATCGTGTTGAAAAACTTGCTGTTTTTGAACAACCAGCTATTGTTAGTTACTGTCGTACTTATCAACAAAATGATAATAAACCAATTTTATAAAGTCTTAAGCCTTAACACAGATATTTCCATGTAATTTTTTTTTTTTTGGCAGTATTAAGAGGACAGCTTTTAAAACATTAGTAGATGAAGTTCAGGAGCTGGAGGCAAAATCTGAAGACCCAGGAGCAGTTGTGCTTGGAAAAAGGTAAAATATACAGTTAATATTTTTTTTTGTCCAAGAGAATATTAAGTTTATCTTTTATTGGTGGTGGGAAATAAGCAATAAACCTGGTATTTATCGGTTAACATGGAGCTAGTAGTGGACAGATTATGGAATCAAACCAGTGTGAATTCAGATCAAACCTATTATTCACTAAGCTTTTGAGCCTTACTCAAGTTGCTGAATACTTCTGAGTCTCAATTTCCTCATACATAAAATGGGAATGATAATGCCTATCTCAGAACTGGTTGTAAGAATTGAATAAAAAGCCTAGTGCTTAATGAGCATTGAGTAAATGGTAGTTGTAAATGTCATTGTGTTAGTAAACTGAGAAGGAGAAAAGAGACTTTTAGCTTGAGACTGTATTCATAATAAAATAGTATGAAGTGAAAATCAGAGCTTGACATGGGGAAAGCTTCCCTGTAATTGCGTTTGTGGTTCAGTATGTTATTGGAGCTGTCCCATGCATATATTATATACGAAGTGAATTAAGTATTCCAAGTCCTCTTCACCACCACCCTCTAAAAAACAGCAAGCTAATTGAATTTACGAAATCCATAAAACATTATAAAAATAAATTTTAATTATTTGAAACTAGTCTATAATAAAATACAACTGTGAAGATAATACCAGGAATTTGTTTTTGGTTTTTGTTCTCTCTTTCATCACACTCAAATGACCTAAAGCTTTGTCTAAACCATAGAAAGCATTTTGCCGCAGTATATGTCATCTTAATCATGATTCACTGCTCTTACTCTGCTTGACACAATGAAGTGTCAGGCCGGGAAGTCAAGCTGAGACCTTGCTTCCAGACCTCACTCATTTTCATCAGGCCGAAGGGGCATGTCGTGTACCAGTCTATGTCTCTCCTTTCAAAAACAACAGCCCTGGCATTTGTTGGGCACTGACACATGTTAAATGCTGCACTTACCACTTCCTAAGTACTTCTGTGCCCTTGATACTCTGTGACAACCCCATACAAATCCATCATCCCCACTTTTTTCAATGAGGAAACTAGGACTTAGACTGATTTCTCAAAGTCAGAAGAGACAAAACTGAGATTTGGTCCATGTCAGTTGATTCCAGAGTTGCTGCTCCTAAGCATTTGCTATTCTGACTCCTTTTGCTACTTTTTCAAGAACATAGTTTAGCAGCAAAAACAGCTGACCACTGATTGAACAAAGTCCTTAACCTCTGTACACCAGCGTCCCTGTGTGCATGAGAGTCATAATAGCTATTTTCAGGTTACCAATGTTCTCCTCCTTCTCCATGTAACATTTCATCTCTGACTCTTCATTTGAAAGTCAACATTTAGTTCATTGCTTGACATAAATCACCCCTCAGTGAATGTTTTCTTTCTTTCTCTCTACCTGCAAAAAGGATGCAGCAAGTGTTCCTAGCTCATAAAATTGAAAATAAAACCATTTATTATCATTAAGGAAAGGCCACTGATAATACTGTCATTACCCTCAGGAGTAAACTTCTCATGTTTGTAAGCACATTAATAAAACTGACATTAGGCTCTTCCATGTGATTTTTAGTTTGCCTGATTGTGGTATGTCAGTGACTTTGACAATTCATCAGTCAGACTGAAGGTTCCATGTGATGGACTCTAGATCCTCAAGATTCAATGAGGCTGCAGTATATATAACCTCTTTAAATAAAATTTCAGACAGCCCCCCCCCAAAAAAAAAAGTGAATTCCACCATGAATAATCACCAATATCTCTTTATATAATACATCAGATAAATTAATGGCTTTCTGCCTGGCTCATTTGCCTAAAATAACTATGCAGCTTTTCTCCAAAACTCAGGAATGAGTTATCTACTACTACAGACAGACTCCTCTGGTACTGTGTATATTCCATGTTGACATAGCACCCCCTCTGTAATCAGAAGAATGGTGATGGCTACTGTGACCACAGTGCTGTCCTGCTGGATGGTCATGAGTGGAGGGAGAGAATAGGGATCTGCGAATGGAGAAAAAGAACAACTGATTAGAAAAGGCTTCATGCTAAACTGAGTATATCCTAAGACAGTTAAGAAATTGTCAGATTGATTTTACTGCCAGGATTATTTTAGGAATCTTGGAAAATGGGATTGATGTCAAGTTTCTCAAAGTTGGCTAATTTTATCTACATTTTCAAAGGAAGAAAAATGGTTATTTCTGTAAATTCTAGCTCAAGCAGACTTCCTGGAGTCTCAAAAACCTGGTAATTTATGCCCCACAGTCTTTGCACATGCTATTCCCTTGTGCAAAGGGAATTCTCAATTCTTGGCTTTCAAAACTCAATTCAGAAGCAATGACCTCAAGTTTTCAGATAAAATTCATTTCCTCTCTACTGTCTATAGATTTGTTTATATAATGTTATATAAATTTTTATATAATGTTGTTTATATAATGTTGTTTATATAATGTTGTTTATGTAATGTTGTTATTTATTGCATTTTTATGTGTGTATATTTTTTTTTTCACCTTTAGTTTGTGGTTCTAATTCCCCTACTAGATTGCTCTCCCTGAAGGAGAGGCCTCTGTCTTAGGGTTTTTTTTGTTGTTGTTTGTTTTTTTTTTTTTTTTTTTTTTTTGTGGGACACTTGCCAGATGCTGGGGAACGAACCGGCGCTGCAGAGGCTGCAGGCAGCCTCGCAGCCCAGCGCTCAACCACTGCGCTACCAGGGGAAGCCCTGTCTTAGTCTTTTAAAAAAATTTTATTTATTTATGCATACAAGAACTAGGGTGTGGGTCACAGGTTAGGGTGTGAGAGGATTCACCAGAGACAGAGTAGGGAACAGAACAGGCGGATCTGCTGAAATACATTGCTGAGGGGAGCAGTGGGCAAGAGAGGAGAAGTCTGCCTCACTATGTGGGTTAGCTCCCCTTCTGGGAATCAAACTCCTGCTGCAATGGTTGGCAATAGCTCGATAGCATGGAGACTTTAACCCCTGCACCACCAGGGAGGCCCCTCTATCTTAGTGTTAACCACAACTTAATACCTAGCACAGTTCAGAGCCTAGATAGCACTTGATAAATTTTTTGAATTGCTGATTGAGTGGTCAAGGAATGAACTCAGAAACAAGTGACTGAATGAGTGGGTGGGTAAATGGATAGTTGAGAAGTAGGTGGTGAATACATGGTTGACCTGTGGGTAGTAAATTAAAATAAAATACGAACATAGAATTATATAGGTCATATCTCCCAAAGTAGATAATGTCCAGAGTAATGATTATTTACTTTTGTTGTCATAGAATGATGCAATTCTTAAGAATGAGTGGGTCAGCCCTGTTTCCTTTAATCTTCACCAAGCTCTACCATGAAGTCGAGCTTACACATTAAATGAAGTTGTATCAGAGATCTGTGAACTGTAAGCATTATCTCCAGATTCACATTCACCTTTACTCAAGTTGAAAGATTAAAACATCTTGATTAAAGTAGTCTTTTTCCATAGAAGCAGTATACCACTTACCTTATTACATAGCAAATTAAATGCATCCCAATTTTACATTGAAATTATTTCAGGAAAGCTGGGTTTCATCCTCTAAGTGTGTTGCTTTTGAGCTATGAGTTAAGATAGACATCAACTTAAACCTTAAATGTTGGGAGAATAAATCCAAGCCTTACTCCTGATCACTGTGTAGCAATGGCTTATTAATTTTGGTTATGAAAACAGCTTAAAAGCTATGAAAACCCTGTTCTTTGCTGGAACGTTTATGTAGACATGCTCCAACACTAAGGAGCAGAAGCATCTACAGTTCCAAAATCCAAATAACTTTGAAATACAATTTTCTTTCCATAGCTTTATAGCAAACATTTCCTGGAAAAGCCTAAACTATTTGTTCTATAAATATAAGGGAATTAATCATGTTTATTTTTCCTATAACATAAATATTTATACATTTTATAGCAGAAATATTCATTTTTTTGGAATATGGGCCTCCCAGATCCCACTTGGGAGTATTACATCTGTAAGTTGCGTAGAACATAGTACCTTTTCTTAGAAAAAATGTTAATTCAAAAATCCAATGGTTTAAAATGAGGGATTGTGGACACTAGACTCACTAGAGACAAGGCAGTTCTTCTTGGCTATCTTTCATGTGTGTGAAGCCATCCTGCATCTTATACACAGGAAAGTGTGAAAATGACACTTACAATGGTACAACAACTGCATTTCACTATCAACCACGACTCAGTAGACCCTTAGCCCAGGATCTGCGAGCCAGTCCTCATTAATTTGTCCATCAGCATTGCTTGGTCCATTGCTTCCATAAAAAAGAGCATAGGGAAATATGGGTGTCAGATAATTTGTCATGTGACGGTGATGGTGGCCTCTCCCAGCCATTCTCTATAGTTGTCCTCTTAATGAGAGGTAATTTTAACATTTCTCCAAAATGCAGAGAAAAGAACTCTGCTTCTCAGTTTTCACCCTGGATTTTATATCCAATTACATCAATAATCTTGATGAGGGTGTGGGATAGCACATATGTGCCAAGTGTTCCCCCCCTCACCTTACCCGCTCTCACCACTGTGATAATGAATCTATCCAATATTTGTAAAGAAAAGTGACAGAACAGTGGAATGTTATCTCCTCCAGAGGGAGAGTTAGGCCTGTTACATTCATTGTTTATCTCCCACAAGCTCTACCTAGTATAGACAGCTGTCCATGCTATACACTGAAACATTCCATGAGTGGATCATTATTTACTTTCTGGAGATCCATTTTAGTGAGTCAGCCAGAACAGCATGGTGACACAATATGATGTAAATACAAATTTACCATTCCTCAAAGATGACTGAAAATGCCTCAAATCAACCCATTCCACCATAGTAAATGAATTTTTGTCTATTCTATCTTTTGTGTTTCTAAGTGAAATATTATTTTAAGACATGGTATATTTTTACCTCACCTCTACCCGGTATCTCAAGTTTCAATACTTCAGTGGGCTTGAAAATAATATAATTTTCAAGTTTATCAATGGTAGTTGTGAAATTGCATTTAACAAATTCAGAGTTTGCATTAGCTGGTTTGTAAATGAAAGACCATACAAATTAGTAAAAATACTAATAATTATGAATAAGATGTGGTTTTTGTATGAATTTTATAGTCTTTTTCTTCTCCCACTGTGTTAATCTGTTCAACAAAAATTGAGCTGTGAACATATCAATGTTAACAGGGTAGCAGCATATTTTATAATGTGACATGATAGTAATATCAATAGCCATAAGCATTGATGGTGCAGAATTGCATACATCTGAAATGATAAGTGGTTCCCTAGAAGTAGTATAAGACTAAAGAAATACAGCTCATCATCACATTATTTATTAAGCACCCTCCTATGAATCACATTTATATCATGTAGGAGGGACTTTTTATTTTATAAGCACTAAAGCTAGAGGTGCAATGTAGCTAAGGCAAAAAAATAGTTTAAAGATGATGATAATAATAACAAAACCCTGAAATGGAGAGGACCATATTATAAATTAAAGCACATGTGCAGCAGAGATGTGCTGAGCTAATGTTGAATAATAATCAAGGCATTAGAAAATGGTCCCCACAAAGTATCTTTTGTTTTGTGATATCCCTGTTCAAGTTGATTTTCTCTTTTATAGTAAATTCCTTGGGCTCTGGGTAGCAGTGAGGGTGGGAGGGTCTGGCACACATTGAGTGTTACAAACAGCCCTCTTGCTGTAGATGAAATGAAAGATTATCCTAAGGAATAAGTAACAGACTCAGAATTAAAGGGAAGTAGCAGACCTCAGAGCCCATACTCTAGCAGTGCATTCCTTTCCCAAGAAAAGCAACTTTCTTGTTACTTTTTTTTAAACACTGGACATTAACTTGATGTGATAGTTAAGTGAAAGCATGCCCTTTTATGAACCCTTATAAAACAAAATTACATTATTTTATATATTTAAGTTATGAAAGGTAAAAAATGTGGGGACCATTTCTAATGCCTATGAAAGGTAAAATTCTCATATCTGCCTTCTTAACATTTTGATGTTTCATATTAAAGTATTATGCATTGAAGAAGGCCAGCCTGGGGGGCCTCCCTGGTGGCACAGGGGTTAAAGTCTCAGCACTGCCAAGCTATAGCCAGCCGCTGTGGCATGAGTTCAGTTCTATCCCTGGCCAGGGAGCTATCCAATATGGCACAGCAGACCTCTCCTGTCTCGCCAGCTGCTCCCCTCAGCAGTGTATTTCAGTAGATCCACCTATTCTGCTCCCCACTCTGTCTCTGGTGAATCCTCTCCCCCCCACAAACAACCCCCGCACTTCTGGCCAATACCCCAATTCTTACATATATAAATCAATCAATCAATCAATCTTAAGAAAAAAAGGAAGCCAGCCTGAAACCTGGAAAATGTATTTGGGGAAGAAGAAACAACATAGTAGTACTTTGCTGTGCTCTCATCTCTGTAGTCAGTTCAATTTTAAAGACCAGAGACTTCCCAGCATCCCATCCCCAAGGTTCTTTTAGCAACATCAGACCACCTGCTGTTAAAGCTGCTAAATTCCTCAAAGCAGTTATATATTTAGGGTCCCTCAGGGTCCTGGGATCTGTAATATTAGATCATTGTAAGAGTAGAGTAACTCTGAAAAAAATTCCCCCTGTTTATTTCAGTAACAAAAAAAAGTTTTACAGCTATTTGGAGAACCACTGGTTTTAGATTAATTAGCTTTCTTGTCTTAATGTAGCTAATTCCCATTGACAATAAAGTATGTTTGCTAAGTGCCAGTTAACACCCCAGACTTTAAAAAATGAGTGGAAGATTCCTACAAGTGTCAACATTCTAAATATTTTACTTCAGCAAAAGCCTAAATGTTTGTGCAATTGCAATGAGTTCATTTTACAGAGGATCCTTTTTTGTAGATGATAAATATTGTTCCATTTTAAGATCTTAAAAAATTTGGCAAAATATGGAATTCTAACATAACTTACAGCAGTTGAACTAAATCTTTTATAGTGGAGAAAATGCAAGATGGAAATTTTTCATCTGAGTCAGTTCCAGTGATTAAAACAAGATTGCATAAACATTTGTTGTAACACATGTGGGTTACTTATTAGTTTTTCATACTTATTATGTTCTTTGATATCAAAGTGAAGTTTTATAAGTCAACCAATGGAGAAATGCATGATTGGAAGGATTGATGATGTTTAAAAATGCATTTCAGAATTATTCAGATTGATATATTTGTCAAACATTTGAATTCCCACTGTGTGTGACAGTGTTCTATGTGCAGTGGGAAAAAAAACAGATGCATTATTTCTTGTAGTGTGCTTTAGAAGTTACATAATTAATTACATGGGTTTGTGTATGTGAAGATTATGTTAAATGTTTTATTAAACAATATTTCTCCTTTTCAGTTCACTTTATATAATTATTTTCTGACGGTAGTTTTTTATTTTAAATTATAATTAAGGAACACATTTTATAACATATCAGAGTAGTAATGGAATTTTTCTAATTGAAAAGTCTATGAAATATCTTCCTTGTGTTATTTTGAGGATTTTCTTGAATAAGTAAAATAATATTTTACACCCAAAATTTGTACAAAGCAAGAAAAAGATACAATAATAATTTTTTGTAATTCTAAAAATGTCATGCTTCGAATATATGCAGTAAGTCAACCAGGAATTTAGAAACTAACAGGACTAGGGGAAAATTTTGTATTGTTTTATTAATTGTATCATACACGTATCTCCACTTGACTTAAATATGACTGGAGGGTGGGGAAATCTTTCGATGAATTATTGGAGCCCTGGCTCTCCCTCGCAATGGGAAAAGAGTTCCTCAAAAATATGTCTAAATACTTGAAATCTGATTTACCATCTGATAAAATGGGGTGAAAAGAATCACTAGACTGCTGATTTTTCAAGCAATGTTTTATTTAAGTATAACACTCTTTGGTGGTCTTCTGGCCACATCGTGGTCTCCCCAAGTCTGTCATTCATGTCATGCATTTGCATCTGCCCTGCAGCCTCACAGAGAGGGCACAGCTGCTCAAGAACGTCTTTAAGAAAAACCACGTGAACTTATACCGATCTGAGTCACTGCAACAGAACCTGCTCCGTAAGTATTTGGATTCTTAGTTTTCAATATTAAATTCTCTGCCACGAATGCATAGCATCTGTGAGAGCAGTGTTTTCACTGGGGGGATATTTAGCTGTTTAGAATGAACACCCAAAACAAGCTTTGCTTACTTGCAACAAACAGCACACATAAAAATGTTTAGAGAATCCGCTGACCACAGCCATCTCACTTTTTTTTAATTTAATTTTATATATTTTTTACATTATTTTTCATTTTTGCACAATGTATGCATTTTCATCTTGGTTATATTCCCCATACAATTCCCACCCCCCTTATTTTGACCCTAATCCCACCTCCCCTTCCCACCCGTAGTGTGTCGCTGGTTTAGAGTTGCTTGTTCATTTTGATTTTTACTTTATTATAATTAGTCTTTTTCAAGATGGAGCAAGGCAAAATCTTGCTGTTTCACTTAAAGAAAAACAATAATATTTCCACATGTCCCTTGTTTCCTTAAATCTTGAAAAGAACAAGTAAAATAAATCTTAACTCTTAAAAGCTGCCTCTATCTTGTTATCTTTTCTACTTGAATAACTTTGCAAGAACCTTTTCAGCTTTCATACAGCACAATGAAACATGTATTTTCCCCTTCAAAAATATTTATGAATATTTAGAGTTGGAAGAAATTATTAGGGATCGCCCCTCTTAACATTTCAAGGATCTGAAAAAAGAATATAAAATATAAAACCCTGTAGTAAATGTGTTTGTGTTAGTAATATATCTTTTGTTTCATATTGTTTCCACATATAATTTATCTTCACTTACATATACTCATGTTTAATGCTCTTGCTCTTTACACTTCACGAGACCTTTTCTAGAGATGTGATACTCATGGGGGTCATTTCTCATCCCCACGCCCTCTCCAACCATGTTGGGGCATGCATGAGCTTATTTTAGAAGTCGAGAGCCAAGGAGAATGTTGTCGGAGAGAAGGAGACACTTTTCCACCATCTGCAGTTACATGTGTCTGCAGAGAACTTTTGTTCTCTCTCATCCACCTGAATTCTGTGGAAATACGTGTGCCCACTTGCCTACAGCCCACCCACTCTAGTAATAGAAATGAGATGGGTTGGAAAATTGAGGGGGATTGAGGCGCCTGCTCATTCATTCACCTCATGAGCCATAGACTCAAAGCTTGTATCCCACAGTGGCCCCACTCTTCATTTTGCAGTTGAGTCTGTATCTTTTCCAGACGTCAAAAATGAGTGTCTTCATGCATTAGGAGGTGGGAAGGATACATTTTTTTCCTCAAGTTAGAAATGAGTGTCACCAAAAGAGCAGAGATTTCCAGGGACTTCATGGTGATAAATTTCTATGTTATCTTTAACTGACAGATGGCTACGCCTTCTCTCAAGATGAAAATGGCATTGTTTCACAGTCAGAAGTCATCAGAGCCTATGACACCACAAAGCAGAGACCCGATGAGTGGTGACAGGGAGAGGCTGCAAGGCAGGCTCTGCTGAGTCTCTGAGGAGCACTCCCATGTCTTCCCGGAATCTGCTGACCAATCCCAGCCTGGTGCAAGGAGGGGAAAGATGGATCCGAGCTCACCTCATTGACTGACAGTCAGATTCGTGTGTATTATAGACATAAGCACTGTGCGGCGATACTGTAATACCATCTCTCTCCAGTTCTTCAGAGTATCTGCTAAGTCTTTGTAAACAGAAACCGAAAATACTTTCGTAAATTGAGAATAGGTCAGTATTCTTTGCCCTCATCCTGGGGCTGTAATTATCAATGTATTGGATAGACCACAGAAGACGATTCAAAAATTCTAAAATAGTAATAAGGGAGAGGGGCTCTTGATATCCGGACTTAGATTTCAGGATATGCTGAAAAGAAACCAGCATTCTTAAGGAACTGACTCACCTTACTGAGCAAAATTTCTAAACAAGACATTACTAAGTGTTTGTGTCAAAAACTGTCTCGATAAATGTTTGCCAAAGAACTTCAATACGTGTATTTTTCATTCAGTAGTCATTTGCCCAGAAATTTAAAGAAAGTTTACTTCCAGTTCTGCTGTAAGATCTGCATGCTCGACTTTTCAAATGTAAGAGTGGTTTGCAAAAATCAGTATTTCAAGGCATTTGCTACTAAAATCTGTGATGTTGCACCTTTGGCCTTACAAACGCTTCTTTCTTGTCTGTCTTGTTTGAGAGAGCACACGTGGTAATGTGAATTTGTTATTATGATACTGATTTTTAAAACCGTATTTGTGTCTCAGTCATTTCTGATGAGATTTCATGCCATTTAGACTTTTCTAAAAATTTGGATTCTATTGTAGACTGAGTGCTATCATTTTGTCTTAGAGTTTCCTCTCAAGAAAAATATGCTTAAGTATTTATGTGAGATTTCCAATGCTTCTATGGAGATATTGGGAATACCACATCAGATAAGTGCATGGGCTTTTGTAATGTATGTGGGCTCTGCTTCTGTAGGGTGTCTTGGTTCTCCCCAGTTGTCTCCCCAGAGACGTCTGCTGTGTTATCTAGCACACCCCATGTTAAGGTGACTGCCCCCACACCTAAGACTGAGAATTACTTCAGAGTTCACTTGGCAAGCAGCTCCCGAATTTAGTCACATGCTGCTCATTGGGCAAATTAGTAGTGTATTTTCCCCATTTTAAAAACATGTATTTTATTCAAGCCTATAACTCTACAAGGAACACTTTTCATCATGAGTAGATTTCACTGATGTTTTAAAATGTATGTTCAGTTTATTTTCCGCACTTCCAAGACATCTTCTGAAGATGCCTATTTTGCTACCAATAAAAATTGGTGAAGGGGCTGTTGAAAAATCACAACTAGTTTTCTACACTATTTTTAAAATAATGCTTTCATTTAGAAAAAAGGAATTCTAGTTTTCAGATGCACTTCAGAGACTGAAGCAAACTTTTTGCCTTTTATTCAAAAGCCTGTTTGCCTTTATGTGGACTTACCAGCAAAATTGGTAGAACTTCCTCTCTTAAAAAAAATAATAACAGTCAACTAAAATTAAGTGATTTTCCAAATCACTCCTTGAGTTTAATAATTTCACATTCTTTTCATCCTTTTTCTCAACCTATCAACAGATTTAAAATTAGGCAAGTATCATTTCCTAATGGGTATTTTTGCCTCCCACATTTTCTACAAATAAGAGAGGTTAGAACATATAAATAATGCTAACTAAAGAGGCAAGGAGTTGGGGTGTTTCAGTTCCCAGACCTTCCCATTTGGGGTTCAGATTAAGAGAATCATGAATCAAAACACAGGTATAAGAGTCAAAAAATCATCTTCAAACTTTCAAAGGCACAGTTTTCTCTACCACATGGATATTCAGAGCACCTTCTCCTGTGTCTCTATTGTGATAGTTGCTGTCAAACTCCCCAAAAAACAAAGAAAAAAAGAATGAAGTCCATCCCTCCAGAGAAACCCTTTGTAGCTGTTTGCATTTACCCCTGCCTCATCAGTGGTGTCCTTTTCCAAAATTTTAATATCAAAATGTTCTCACTGGCATAGATCTGAATATTCTGACTTATGAAAAATAAAAGTCTTTTTCTTGAAACCTGGACTGTTTCTATGGAAGTCTTAAATGTGAGTTGACTACTTCTGGAGTAATTTAATGTATACGACTGAAATAGAACTGATTTTTTTCCCTTTTGTCCCATGGTTTTATTTTTGAATTATCAGCATTAAGTCAAGCTCTGTGCTTCTTGGGTGGGAGTTAAGGGTGAGCAACAGAGAATGGCCTCTTGGTAAAACTGAAAATATAACATTGCAATTGCAGTGACCTTATAGTGTTAAATTAGAGAAAGCCCTGTGATTTTTTTCCTAAGCCTTCCTGAAGGGGAAAAAGTTAATACGGTTTTACCAGAAGTAAACAGTCAAAGTGACTTTTGACATATATTTTCTGAAATAAAGGACACATTACTCTTCAATTAAAAAGTCACTTGTAGGGACCCTGGTAAATGTGCCCTTGCTTTACAATGTTTACAATTCAGAAAATGCTATAAAGCAGTAAACCCTATTCATTTCTCATTGAAAAGCTAAGAATTGCTTCTCTAATATTGACTAGTACACAGTGATATTGAGCATGAACTTTCTAAGTGTTTTATATATGCTTATAAAAATACGGTGTCTCCTACCCAGAAAGATGCTCTATGGTAGAAGTTATTAGCAGAAAATAGTGTTTCTCAGGAATGTAGTAAATTTTAAACGATAAATGTGCTGCCCACCTCCCCACACCCCTGTTTCACATCTAACATGAGCCTGCGTCAGCAGGTTTGCAAAGTTAATGGAAAACTTCCTCTAATCAAGTCAGGTGAGCGTGTATTCTGCTCATTAATATTAGCCATTCACATGAATTGTATGATCGTTTAATGGAATCAGTGATTCCTCTTAATTTTCAGGGGAAAATGAATTCTAGAAATCAACATTAAATTTTTATCTTAATTTCACCGTTCAGCATTCTAAATATCTATGTGAAAGTCATAATTTGTTCTGCCTTTCGTACACTGGCGTCACTTAAGTCAGCTGAAATATGCTTTCAAGAAATGAATGGTAGTCTGAAAGTAATAGATTGTATATTTATAGTTTTTAAATTATTTATACCAATGTCATAATTACTGTAAGGTTAAATAATCATTTGTTTTTACTTTTGTGCAGTTCCCTCATGTTAGTTCCTGTTTTTAAAATTTATTTCATCAAATAAATCTCTAATCTTATAATCATCTACAAAATTCATCAAGAAAACATCCACCTCACTCACATCAACGGACCAGGTCTATGAAATTCTTTTTGTAAATGACTTAATGTAACACATGCAGTTTGGTGCCTAATAGATGCTTTTTAATGATGAACATTTCTATAATGCCTCTTAAAGATCCTAGTCTGATTTTTCTCACATTAAAATAAATGAAGTCACTTGTGGAACTTAGTTATACTTTGCTGCATTTTAATTAACCTTCAACAGCTATTAAAGTGGAATTTAAGTTACATTTTGAAGGAAAGGAAATAAATGTTTTCCATTTTTCGTCTTGATTTATTTTCTGTATGACAGCAGCTGTGTTTTTGATAGGTTTATGGTTTGCATGAATTAATATTTAGAGTGGTCCAGGCCAATGCATGGTTATTGCTGTAAATCTTGATGTTTATTTCTGCCTTATAAAATTCTATCATGGCCTACCTGGAATTCAATATTCCATGGACAATTAATTGGTCCTCTATACAATTTTTTCTTAATAAGTGAATTATTTTAAAAGCAAATTTGAACACATTTTATTGAAACTTTTGTTTACCTTACCTCTAAGAACTTTTCTTAATAAAGCTCACAAAACTTCTCAGCAAATAAATCTCCCTTAAGTAGGAAAAAAGCTAGATTTCATACTTGCTTACTTTGAATTAACAACAATTTTCCATAGATAAATCTGCTTTTGCAAAGATGTGAGCAGAATATATAGAAAAATAAATATTTTTATGTTTAGTGGGTCTAGAATAGAAGCCATAAATGCAGTAAATACTGTTTGTTGTTTGTTTAACTACTTCAAGCTTCATTTTTCACATTTTCAAATTTATTAGGTTAAGAAAAGGCAGCCTTGGAAGGCAGCTACTATGGAAAATTGCAGTTTGCATTAAAGATAATATAGTATTTTCAGCTCCATGAAAAACCATTCCTGCTGAAACTGCTGTAGAAATTGTGAAGCTGCATGAGTGGAGAGTATTGAATCTGTGATTTTAGTAGTTTTCTCAGGTTTGTTTATCTCAATGTTCAATGCACTGTGTTTTATAAATAGTTATTAAAGTTGAGTAATATTCAATTCTTTGCAGTGTTAAGTGTCATTGGCCTTTTGTGAATATGCATGTTTTAAACTGCAAATTTTAAACATTTTGTCCTCTAATTGTTATTAAAAATGAAATAAACTTTACCATTACATAAAAGAAATTGTTGAAGTTTTAATTGCTGGTTTTAGAAATTCTTGCTTTATTGAGCATTTGAAGCTCAATAAACAAAATGTTTTAGCATTTTGTTTACAGCCCTAGTTGTAAACATACTAACACTTTTGTATACAAAATAGTCCTTCATCTTAATCCACCCAGCTGAAACATGAAGTATATTAACTCCAGTTTGGTAAGAGGGGTAGATTTAATAATTAAACATCCCTGAATTTTTAAATAAAATTACTGTATTTTGATTTTTCAGTCAGAAGCCTCCCAGCATTGTCCACATGCCATTTAAATCCGCCTGCACATCAATAGCTAGCTCTATCCTTTCACATTGGTTGTATTTAAGTTTTCTAAACCTATTACATTTTTTCAGATTCATGAGAAAGTGACCAAGCTTAGCCAATAACCTTCAAAGGAAATAACCAGAAAATAATAAATTTGCCATGTGAAGCACAGTGCAGGAAACATCAGAAATGAGGGCAACAACTCTATCAACAGTGAGTATGCTTGGGACAAAGGGAAACAACTGAAGCTACAATTGAGTCAACTGCTAGAATAGAATTAGTTCCCAGAGAGGACTGGGTCGGCAATCTCAGAACCTGGTTTTATTCCAGCGAAGCAGCATGTGTGTGTAGCTATCTGGGGCCCCACATCCCTTCCCAAAATTCTCAGAGACAAGGACTTGGTGTGGGTCCCCCATGAAAATCCACAGCAAAACAACATACAGAAAAGATCTATGTAATATATCAAGTGATTTTCACATTCCACGCCATTCCCCATGAAATTAACGCTTTATAACTGACTGAATAGGTCAGGATATTTTCTAAAATGACCAAAAAGGAAGAGAAAACTTGAAATATAGTCCCATAAATTCAATATATCATCCCCATTTAAAGCTTGTTTTTCTATATTTATGGCATTTCTAATCAAAAGCTTCCATTTCAGAAACACAGCATCTCTCATCTTAATGAAGAAAGGTCTTCCAAACCTGCATAATTTCACTAGAAAGTTAATAAAAACTGTTGGAGGATTTGGAATATTTTTACCATTCAGTTTTTATTTCAAGTGCACACTATGTAACTAGCAATTCAAGTTAGCATTCTGTCATAATAATGTCATTAATAACTTAGTTTAATTGCAACTTTAAAATACTCATGTACATATAAAAATAGGGAAAACTTTGTTCCCTTAATCGTTTAATATGCCTATAAATTCTTATTTTTCCTGAACATATACTAAGTACACTTTTTAGGTTATGCAAAGTTAAACTAATCTCAACCCAATGTAGTATATCAAATTACTATGATAGAATATATTTTTAGGAAACTTTTTTAGTTACTTTAGAGAGAAAATATCCTATGGATTTTAGTCAATCTGGCAAATTCATCATGAGAAGTAGCTTAAAATAATAACAGTAAAGAGTAAACAGGTAGCAAAAAAAAAGTGCAATCTACCCATTTGGACAATTAAAAATACATCTATTGACTTTGGAATGAATGATGATTTTAAAGTAAATTTACTATGTTAGTGTACTTTTCAGAGCAGGTGATAAAATAAGTTTACAGGCCAGGAATATCCAACCAGGTTGGGGGGATGCTTTCCTCAGACAGTAATGGGAAGTGGCCTGGGTATCAAAGCAGGCCAGCATGTTAGAGAACTAACTCTATCAACCCTGGGGCCATTTTCTCTGGAGTCCATTTCATCTGTTTTCTCTTATTTATCCTTAGATGCTGCTCAGCTCCCTCCCCACTAGAATGCATGTGATTTGAGACATGACTTGAACTTCTTGCTTCTCAAGACAAACCTAAGCAAAAAGGTACCATTAATATCTCCATCTTATAAACGAGAAAACTGAGACATCTTAGAAATCATGAATTATAAGCAGTCCAAAGCTACTCAACTTACAAGTAACAGAGACAATAAACTAACCCAAACACTAAGAATCCAAAATCCATGCTAAATCATCTTCTGTTCTCCCCAGTTGCTCATGTGCAAAGGAAGAAAGGCTTGACAGCTAGTATTTCTATCCATGCTTTCTGTTAACTCTATGTTCTCACAGTGCCACTCAAATCACAATTTCCATCTATTTTAAGAGTATGTACAATGTTCAGCAATTACTTTTTTCGCTAATAGATTTTCTGAAAAGTAGGTTGAATATTTTTCCCTGAGAAAAAATAGGTCTTCTAGTACGTGTTATAAAGAATGTAGATCTTCAGAGCTACCGACTGGGTTCAGATCTTAGCTTTGCTATTATTGTCTGGCTTTGGGCACAGTGTTCCTTTCTCGGATTTCTTCAACAGCAAAACAGGCATGATAATTACCCCTGCTTCAGGGCTGTAAAGATTAATACAACTCAGGCAGCACTGGGACACATGTAGTACTTAATGAATGTTACCCATTGCTTGCCTAATTACCTCTCGACATGTAGAACTTCTGATCTTCAAACCCATCCTAGTTTGAAGGCATTAGGACTCAAATTCTTTGTAATAAAGCATTAATCAGAAAAGCTTCCACTGTATCTTGATGTTGTGGCAAGTTATGGGGAGCATCTTCTTGGAAATTTCAAGAGATTTGATTTGGTCCTTGAGGTCTAATGTCTCTAAAATGAAAATGTGTCAAGTCACCCCTCCTTATAAAATTCTTCAAGGCTCCCCTCTTGCATTTGGGGTATGGGAAACCACCATGGTGTTTAAGATCTCTGAACTGATACTGCTCACATCCCCACTTTCACTTTCTCTAGACTCTTCATCCAGTTTCCTTGTTCTTTCACACTCATGAAAACTTCTCCGAAATTCTATGAATTCTTTACTCTGCCTAATATGCTCCCCCCGCCAACACTGCCAGCACTCCTCTCTCCATCCTCTACCCAGTCTCCTTCCCTTAGATCCCATTCAGCCCCCAAGTTTCCAGTCCTTCAAAGTGATTCATCTCAACCCTCCAGGACCAGTTAGGTGCTCTTTGTAGGTATTTGCAGGGCACTCAGCATTTCCCCTCTCATTGCAGTTACCATAATGGAGTCTACATGTTGATTTTTGTTCGTCTTCCTCTGTGTGACTGAACTTCTGGATAGCAGGAAAAATAATGTGTCACATTTATAACCTATAACATCACATGTATGTGCAGTCATGTCTGAGTCCATGCAGAGAGTGACCTTGAATCAGGACAGTATTCAAGTTATCACAATATTCCTGACCCCTCACCTGACCCACAGGTGGTATCCAGCAAAGGCTTATTGAATGAGATTATCCTTGCCAAGCTGCCACAGAATGGCATTTTATCCTGAAATTGTGATGGAGGAGGAGGAGAAGAAGGTTATCAGTTTCATAGCTTCCATGGAGAAGTTCAAATACATGTACTAAGTAATAATAAGTACATGGGGATGCAATTTGATTCTGTGTCACTGAAGGATGTATTAGCGTGAGGTACACAATGACTCCAAATTTTCAACAGTTATGGCCAGTTAATTTGATTGATTGGAACATCCTGATAAGGAAAGGAAGGTTGCAGATGTGAGCTTTCTGAATTTCTTAGCCTTAGCCTGCCTGATGGGTATAAACTGCTCCACCAAAGGAATGACACAATAGAGGTAGTCACAGAGATACCTGACAAACTAGATGGTTTTCCCTGGGGCAAGTTCCAGCTTCTGGAGGATGTGGTTTTGTGTGGGGGCATCTTTGTCATCGAATGTTTGGGTTTGGGGTCTGGTATACTGTGAACACTCACTGGCTGGGACTCAGTTATGACAGAGATCCCACATGCATGGGATAGTCTACACAACAAAGACTTGCTATCCATCATCATGGCTTTGGAATGTCCCACTATCCCTTCCATGGAAAAGTCTCATTCATGTTACCTATGAAGTATTTTTTGCACTGCATCATATACACTGAAATTTCCAGATCTGTAACTATGATGCAAATGAAAGAAAGATCAAGCTTTGTTTTGTTTGGAAAAACTACATTAACAGCAATGATACAACGGTGGCGCTTGAGTTGCCAGTCCTGCAAACCTGCATTGAACAGGCTCATGTCAGAGTCCTTTGTTTAATCAGCACAAGCCCTAATATTTTAAAACAAATTTCTCTCTTCTATTTACCACAGTGGTAGTGTGTTGAATGTTTGAAATCATATGTGTAGAGAAATTCCCTCTCCAGTGGTTTCTCTGAACAGATGCATCAGAAACTCAGAGCAGGAGGTGTTCCCCAGCTGTTTGCATCTGGTTTTGCAGATAGCTCCAGGACTGACTAGCTGTGAGCAAGTCACTGTGTTCCTGTATTCCTCAGTTTCCATATCTGTAAAATAGGAACTACAGCTCCTCCTGTTGCAGTTGTTTGGGGGATAAAATGAATTAATGCATGTAAATATTTAGAATAGTGTTTGGCTATTTAGAATAGTGTTTGGCTCATAGTAAGACCTCAATAAAGATGAATTTAAAAACATCAAAGGAGAGGATATAACAAACAAATATGAATAAAACCAGTGTAATGACCAAAGTGTCTTCCAGAACATACTCATGAAAATGTTCATCCTTTATCATCCCTACCTGTCTTCCCATCCTCTTCCTTTCCCTCCTTTCTCCCACTACTTTGGGATACCTGAAAGTCAGGTCACTTTTACACACAGGAGAAAGGAAGAGGCTAGAAGTCAGAAGTTCCTTTGCCATCAGACTAAGCAAAGGCACAATTTCTTCTGACTTGTTTCCTCAACTAGAAAACCAAGAAGCAAGACTCAGAATTTTACCTCTAGTTGCATCTGATAAGAGCTGTTGATGGTGACACGTGATAATGTGAATTCATATAAACCTGCAAGGGCAGAGGTTAGCTAGATGACAACACTAAGATGGATGAGAGGAAGGACCAGGTAGGCAGGTGGCCAAGGATAAGGCTTCTTTCTGAAAGGGGCTGTCCTGACCCCAGGGCAGTCTTGGTGCCACATCATCTCTGTGATACAAGCAGTCAAAACTTCAGTTTCTTATTGAAATGTCCTAATTGCTAGAGCTAAGCAAGCCAAATGACACATCTGAGGTCTGTATATACCCCACAGGCTGATATCGCTACAGAAATTCACTTCCTTTGCTGCTTTCATGAGCCCAGATGCAGAAAATAGCATTTTAATGTAATTCAATGTAGAATCTTCTTTCTTTCATTTCAAAATATGATGTGTTACATACAGATATTTCCTTTTCTTAAATAGCAAAGAGTATCATTAAGGAGATAATGATACTCCTAAAATGGAGGACTTTGATCTAAATTTCAAATAGATTTCACAAAAACATAAAATATTTTATTTATTCTAACCCAGCAGGATCTATGTCCAATTATGCAATCAACAGATATGGATTTCAGCAACACTTAAGATATGTAATATTAGATGAGTATAACCCATAACGCGACTTTGAACTCCACAGTTACTATCAACAGAAAAATTACAGTGTGACTATTAAGTGATTAGTACCGTCTATGTAGTAAATAGATTAAATTACAAGTCTTTACATTTGTACATAACTCATTTTACAAATAAGTGTTTAAGACCCAACTGTCCAACTTTCATTTAAACACTAAATGGTGCTGAACAAAAAGTCTACAATAAATATTTCCTTGAGTAGGTGGAGAACTGCTTGTATAGAAGACCTGTGTGACAATGAGTATCTGAATGAGTATCTAAGACTTTAAACTCCTCATGTGGTTATTGAAGTCTTGTATTCTAAAAAGGTTCTTATATTTTAAACAAAATTTATTAATTTAAAAAATAATAGTTTTCATGGTGCTAATATTATTCATGGGTAGGTTATTCCCAAAATCATAAATAAGTTGTCCTCTTAGCTTACTTAGTAGTTAATTTTTTAAGTGAACCTTCTATGATTATCATCAGGTATTTTTCTTTGCTTACTTATGTATATACTTGCATTATAAATCACTAAACAACTTATAATGAAAAAAAGAATAGGTAGCCCTTTTCTAAGGTATAATGGAGTTCTCCTGAACACTGTCAGTCGATCTGCAATTTTAAAGTTGAACTGCTGCATATTTTGAATAAAAGTAGCATAAATTGAAATATAATGGCAACCATGTTTTCAAAGCCAGAAAGAAATTATCCAACATGGCCATTCTGTGATCAGAGGTGGGAATGTTATACTCTAACTGTGAAGTTCTGGATATTCCCAGAACTTTCCTCCATGACGTCGCTAGGTTCAGGGGAAATTTCCTTAGAACTGCTCATGACAATGACAGCAGAGCTCCACTCATCTGCCATTATACTACATGGATCATGGCTGTGGCCTGTCAACTGGAACTGAAGTCTGGACAACTCTTCCCTGGTAGAGGGGGCTCCTGCTGGAGGGGGTAAGCAAAATACTGGGGTGACACCAGGAAACCTGATGGCTGGGTCAGATGAATTGGGTGGCCAGTAGTGTAAGGCGGGGGTGGTGAGGGCACCAGGCAGCCTGGCTCTGCCCTGGCAAAGGAGAACCTGCGGATGGAGCCCCCTGTGGAGCTGGAGCTGGTGGCCGTGCTGGACTGCCTGGAAGGCGCCCTGAGGTTCGTGGAGGTCAAGATCATGGGCAGGGTCTCTGTCTGATAACTTCGGAGTGAGAAGCGGATTGGCTGCTGTGAGGGCTCCTTGGGTCTTAAGCAGGTGCAGCAATAAATAGCCACTAAAGAGCCCAGGATGATGAAGGCGATGAAGATGGAGCCGACGATCAGGAAGGGAACGTAGACAGGCTCTAAAAGGCAAAAATAGACAGATACGCTCGGACAGGGTCTCCAAACTCCAGGTTGCTTAGGGGTGGAGGGTGGGAGACTTAGTATTACCACTGTTGTCAGCCCAGCTTCTCAGAGCTTGTTACTGGTAACCCCCAAAGTGCAAGCCGTGATGACAGAATAACCTTGCTCTTAGTGGGAGCAAGCAAACTGATACTGTAATCTCTGTTAGCAATTAGCCATCATATTGCACATCTGGAAGTTAGAAAAGAACAGAATCTCTGCTCCTGTTCATGCACTGCAGGGAGGGAAAATAAGTTGTTTTGTGTTTTTGCTGTTACTATAACTCTGGGTTTAAATCCAGGGTCTAGTCGCTTTATCACAGTAGGGCACTTAGATCTTTGACCCATCTCTGATGCTGAAAAGTCACCTCCCTTCCAAGGCTCCCCAGTCCAAGCAAAGAAAATAGGCCTGCTAAATGGACCTCCAGGAATTTACGAGAGTGGGGGGAAGAACAATAAGAAATCCACAGTGTGGGTTTCCCTAACTGTGTTTCCTATTGCATCACGAATTGTCAGCTCTAGATGCTTCTTTCCAGAAACAATGTGGGATGCCCACTCCAGCAGCCATGCCTCTGCCTACCCAGAGCCATCCAGACTCTGGGAAGATCACATGGAACCTCTGGTAGGTCATGATGTTGTTCTTGGTGTTGGTGGCCCATACTTTCTGCCAGAGCCCCTCTGGGGCAGAGTAAACCTCCATTAGATGGGACCTCCAGATTAGAGGTGAAAATAGAAAACTTGGGACCATTAACAAGCTACCCATTGTTGGCTCTTTTTAATTCATTATCTGATTTAAATAGCATGGGGACCCTGTGAGGTGAGCATGATAAGCTTTATTTTCAGATATGGAAAATGGCAGTTTTTTACTTCCCCAAAGACACATAGGTACTGAGTGACAAAGAACTACTTGAATCTGCGCTCCTAGGTGCAAGCTCTTCAGTGTACCCCCCATTCCCCCATTTTTAGCAGCACCCTGTGGAATGTGAGATCGAAACCACTAACCACTGAGTATTCACAAACTCTCACGGACTCCGCAAGCTAACTCCTCGGAGAGCACTATGCCCATGCTAGAGTCTGGAAGAGGCCCCGCGCAGTTAAGGAACTTGCCCAAGCTTACACAGCTGGCAAGAGACAGACCACTGCCACGAGAGTTTGCAGACCCCAGACTCAGGAGACACGGCCCCTCTCCTGTCCTGGGACGGCAGCGCAGAGCCAGGAGGCCTGGGAAGCAGTCTGGGCACTCTTACTTGGAGAGGAATTCCACCCCGGTGGTGAGTGGAGTAAAGCAGCGGAGAGAGTGTATTTTCCAACAGGCCAGACTTGCCCAGAGCTCCGTACATTCCACTGAGTATCTTTTCTCCACAAACCACTTGTAGACTGGGATTTTGGAACCCCGAATCTCATGGCATTTTAAGCAAGAGCAGGTTCCCCTTTCCTGGGCCAGCAGAGGGTTTCTGGCAGGAGGGGAAGCAGTCACACCATCTCTCCAGCCTCTCCTCCCCTTTCGACAGGGACCTTATCTTGCTGCCTTCAGACTGCCACTCTGGAGTTCTGGGGTGCCTTTGGCTCTGAGCTCCTCTCGGCTCCTCTGGTTTCCCGGTCTCATGGAGCTCTAAAGGGTTTCCCTGATGTTGCGATTCAGGTAGAAAGCTTTTTTTTTTTTTTTTAAAGGTGTAAAGTTCCTCTGCTGGGGTCGTGATTTATTCTGCTCTGAAGTGAGCGGAAATTTGACCCATGTTTTCCGATGTGAGAATAGGGGGGCGGGGAAGCCCCTGCGACCCTGGTTTCTAAATCTCCACCTCGAGGACCTGGACATTTCTGAAAGGCGTGACAATAGGGGGTTGGCCGGGGAGGGTAATTCGATGCAGAGAAATGAAAGGAAGTCTAGAGAATGGGGCAGCTGTTTAGAAACGTACCAAAGAACCCCAAGGGGCTGGGTGGGGGGAGGGAGCCGAGTGGTTTCAGCAAGTCTGCGGGCTACAGACATGCGCTCCCCAAAACTTGCGTTCCCCCAGCCACCCGCACTTCCAGAAGCTCCCAGGGACCCGGGCGCGCAGCGAGGCACCTCACCGCCCCCTGAAAACCCAGGTCTAGCCCGGAGCTTCCCTGTACCCCCCAAGTTCCCGGAAACTTGAGATGTTTTCCCCAGAGGCATGGGCCGTCCCGAGGTCCTCGCTGTCCCTTAACACTTTCCCTGGGGCGACCCTCGGAGACAGCGTGTGGCGGGAATCGGAACTGCAAAGGAATGGGGCCCCTTGACCTACCCGCGACCACCCACTTCTCCCGCGATCCCCCCGCCCGCAGCGTCCACACAGCGCAAAACCCGGCGAGGCCTGGCGCGCGCGCTCGGGGCACACCGGCCGGCACACACCGCCGCTGCGGGCTGCGGGCTGCGGGCTGCGGGCTGCGGGGCGGGGGTCTGCCCCGGAGGGCCCGCACTTACGCGCGGTGATGCCCGGGTGCTCCAGCTCGCCGCGGTCGTTGGTGCAGCCGCCCTGCTCCAGCCTGGCGTCGGCCGCGGCGCAGCAGTAGCGCAGCGCACAGGAGCCACAGCAGATGGTGGCGTCCAGCGTGTCGAAGTCCTCCGGGCACTGGAAGCCCTCGTGGTAGTTGCCCTGCACGTCCACCCAGCCGTGGCAGTACTCTCCCGACTGCTGGGCGCCCGCCGGGCTCCAGCGCAGCCAGCCTAGGAGAAGGAAGAGCGCCAGCAGCGACCCCATCGCTCCCGGGCACCCCGGGCGGCGCGGACCGGGACGCAGCTGGAGAGGGAAGAGCTGAGCGGGGGCTCCGCGCGCCCCGCGGTTCCGCCTCCCCGGGAGGCGCGGGCAGGCTCGAGCTCTCCCGCGTGGGTCAGCAGAAACCCGGCCGGCAGCAGGGGCTGCGCTGCGCTCGCCGCAGGCCAGGGGTCGGCATCGCGCGCCGCGACGTTGGGGCGAGGGCCCGCGGGAGACGCCGGCACCGGCTGCTGCTGGGACCGTCGCTGGCGCCCCGCGCCCGGCTCATGCCGCTCCCGGCGCGGGCGGAGCGCGGAGCCCGCGCCCCCCTCCCTCCGCGCGCCTCGCTGGAGGCATCGCGCGCGGGGCTGGCACCTCCAGGGCTGCGCGGGTCCCCGGCGAGTAGCCGACGCCGGGTTCCAAGCGGAGCCCGAGGGAAGTAAAATTCGTCCTCCACGTGCGCACAGCCCAGACCCGCAGCCCGCAGTCCCCGCCCCTGTCTGTCACGGGAGCTGGAGTCGCCAAGCTGCGGCCAAGTACAAACGGCCTCCGCGCGCTGACAGCTCGGCCTGCAAGGCGTCCTTTAAAAAGCAAGAGGGAGGGGGAGCCAGCGAGGGGGAAGCGAGAGTCCGCCCTCCCGGGTCGCGCTGCTGGTGCTAATCACAGCGGGCGCCGCGCGGCCCGCGGGTCGCTGCGCTCCGGGGTTCGCGCCCAGTCCCCCGCCTTTCCCGGGCCACCCCCACCCACCCAGCTCGCCCGGGACTTAACTCGATGCCTGAGGGGACCGGCCCTCTCCAACGCACACCCCTACTCGGGCCCAGCCTGAAAACTCCCCAGGGTAGAGGCGAGGGCTACCCACTTGCGCGTCCATCCGTGCGCGCCGGCACGCAGTGGAGGCGGGTTTTGCTTTTTATGGGTGTCATAAAATAAAAACACAGCGCCGTGACTGGTTTGTCGAGTCTTCTGTCGCCTGTTACACAGACCCAGGCTCGCACTTGGGACACGGGTTCAAAGGGTTCGGGATGATGACTTTTTTTGGGGGGCCCCAACTTTTGCACTGAGTCTTCTTCCACCTACATTTCCACTTTTCTTGGAGGGGCGGCACATTTCCCCACGTGCACGGACACTGACACTTTGCCTCACCCCCTTCACTGGCGGGCAGCCGGGTGAAGAATCGCCTCCAGCCGTCGACCGCAGCTCCCAGAACCTCAAAGAGCACGCTTTCTGCCTTCACGCCCACAACGGAAATAAAGGAACAAAATTAATGATAATTGTGCAGATCTGAACTTCTGTTCGGGCAAAGAAACACATTTATTTAAATGATGTGTCCCCTGTGTGCTATTTGAAGGGGTCCTGCTCCTGGCGCGGCGTGAGCGCCTTAGGAAAGGGCTGTTATGTGAAACCTGGGCTACACTCAAGAATGTATTTTTACTGCATCCTGAGCTTCCTCTCATCGTTTATCGGCATGTGTGAATATGTTCCCCGTATCTCAACCTATTTGTCAAACACGCTGAATGCCCGTGTCAGTGATTTAGATGTTGGCAAGTTAAGTGAAACAAAAGGAACAAAGTTTGGGGCGCACCAGCAATAAAAGTGCGCGCTCAAAAGCATTTGCTACGCTCGCAGCTTCCCCGATGGTCGATGGTCCGGGTCGGCTCCGAAAAACATTTTTTTTAACGGAATAAAACGGCATCTTTTTAAGTCTCTAAGTGGAAGTATACTTCAAATAAAGAATCCTTTCTGATTTTAAATAGTGGGGTTAGCATTTAGTCCTAGAACGTAAAAATAACGTACAATTTAGATGTTATGGAGGATTGTGTAAATATTTAACTTCATCGCTCTCTTAGAAATAGATCTTCCGTGGGACAATAAGAAACAATTAAGTAAAAATCAAATGAAGTCCAGGCTTTTCTTCACAGACAATGGGACAGTTTTTCTTGACTTAGTTAATGAACTTAAGTTATGGAAAAGTATTTTTGCAGAAATTTCCTAGGTACCGTGTTTTTATTTACAAAAAAAAAAAAGTCCTTGCCAGATGTCGAGTTTGTTGTTTTGTTGTTGTTGTTGTTGTTGTTGTTGTTTTTAATGTTGTTTTCCACAGGAGTTTTGTTGGGGTCTATATATCCTGAGCAAAAAAGGGGGAAAGTCATTTAGAGCCACAACAAAAGTGAGATACAATGATCATAATAAGATCAAACTATAAAGACATGATTGCTGCTAATAACTTTCCCAGAACCACACCTCTTAATATTATTTTTGTTAAAATTTAGAGGAATTCATTACATCACAACTGCATAAAATACTGTGGCAGCAGCAGCAACCTTTGCTAGTCCCCAAGGGTCAAGTTTCTCTCATTATCCAGCTGTTCTTTGATAGCATTAATATTTTAAGGAGTGATTTGTTGGCACTTACCTCCCATTAATTACATTCTCCATGCCACAAAGGGATTCTTTTCCTTAGGACACCAACTATAAGTAATTCCCTCATTCAAAGCCCCTATCTATTTGACATATTTAGAGAGCATTTGACTCAAAGTTAGTTGAATCATATTTGCTGATGGAAAATTTTCAAACTTCCAAATTGCTTGATACTCCATAGAGCTGAAGTGTGTTAACACTGAAACAATTGTGCACTGTGCTTTCACACTAGGTCCTGATCCAAAGTGTTTTTAAACCATTACAACAACCAGCTTAGAGTTTGTGGGTTTTTTTTTTTTTGGGGGGGGGGCATATTCGTGACTTCTTAGATCTTACAGATGGCAGAGCTTACAATGATCAGTTTCAACTGCAAAAATGATATCCTCAGAGTGCTCTTTGTCAACAATAAGAGAATATATAATTCTTTTTAGGTTTATAAACACTAAAGATTTTGTTATTCTGTTACTATTTTAATAGTAAAGGGAGATTTAAAAGTTTTCATAAACTCCTTAAAGACTCTAGGGGGAAGACCTGGAGATGGAAAATAAAATCTCCATGATCTGGAATATTACATAGAGGCTTTCAAAATTCTGTATTTTTCCTTATCTCAGTAACACAACCTTCATATTTTGGTGAAGAACACAATCATAAGAGACCATTTCCTCAGCCACCATCCTCTCGTGGCTCTCCCTCCAGGAAATTCTATAGGAAATGAGTTAAATGATATGATGTCTGGGATTTGCTTTAATAAATGCCAGAGAGAGGGAGAGGGAGGGCGAAGGAGGGAGGGAGATGAGATGAAGAGAGAAGGGGGACAAAGAAAAAGCAGAGAGAAGTTGAGAAATGAGGATGGGACAGATGAAAACTGGAACACAATTGGCTACATATTGATAATCACAGCAGGTTGAAAGGGACTTGTAAATCAAAATGCAACTATTATGCATGAATAAAAATTACATGGTAGGAATATTGTAGATCAATAAGCATCCACAGCAGCATGAAACAGCGCTGCGTCATGTTTTTTAACACTGTTCACTCCTCTGTGTTATTTTCCTTTGGGCAGAGTGAGGGAATTGAGAAAAGCAAACGAAAAATGGGGTGGCAAACAAGGCTGAATGAAGGCACCAGAAAGTGCTGAGAACTAAAAGGTACTAAGGAAAAAGAGAGTAAAGACAAAGGGGATGCAGAAGTGAAAGAGTAAATAAATAATGAGTTAAATAATTAACTTTGATTTTGGACATTCCCTCCAGCTCATTTGCATCGGCCCCAGAAATAAAATAGAAGGCAAAATGTTTCTCGGCCTTTCTCTAGCTCCTGGAGTCGTTTGTTATCACTGCCCTTGCTTTAATTACTTTCTCCATGACTAAATGGAATTGTTTCTCGGTTCACTTACTGGAAATCTCTTAATTCCAGGACCCTGTCAATCTGAGTTACTCGAAGGTTTTTGGGTTTTGTGGGGTTTTTTTCCCCTTTTCAAAGTTGCTTTAGTCCCCACTAGGGAATAGCAAGGTGCCCAGAAGCGTACCCCAGATCCTGCAACCCAGCCTCATACTGGCCTCCTTTCCCTACCCTGTCTTTTAGCTGCCCTCAGGTTTCCCAGCCATGAAAAGAGGACTAGACACAAGGCCATTCTAGAAGTGCTTCTCAAACCACACTGTGCATAAGAATTCATCACCTGGACCCCATGCTAAGATGCAGATTTCCAAGGTCTGGGGGGGGGGGCGGGGGACAAAAAGGGGGTTGGGCTGGGATTCTGCATTTCTAACCTAACCAGCTCCCAAGTGATGCTCAGGGGCTGCTGGTCTGAGGACTATTCTCTGTGGCCCTCTGCCCCCGCCTCAGCTCTTGTCCCCACCCATAGGGGAAGAAATTAATAGAGCCAGAGTCCAAGCCTTCTGAATCAGTCTCTGGGCCCTGGGGCCCCAGTACACCTCAAACAGGCCAAAGCTTGCTTCTAGGACTTGCTGGTTCTGAGGCATTCTAGGGTGAGGTGGATAAAAACCTGTGCACACAGGATAGGGTGTCCAAACTCATACTTGAGGGACCCCTAAGTGCAGCATCAGGAATGAAAAGGAGGGCCCAGACCCACTCAGCTTGTAGCCTCTGTCTATTCTTGCCCAGCAGGAAAATGTTAGAGCTGGTGTGTTGATTGCACATTTTGGGGACTCAGTAAATAGTGAGTAAATGGCAAAATGAACATTTCCCTTCATAATTCCACAGCTGCCATCTCACATAGTAAGTGTGTAAGGGCATTTGTACTGGGGCATCTTTCCCATGAGTTCTGCCTCCTTTTTCATTGTGTCCTGGGATTTAACAGAGTGCCTGGTAGGTCGGGAGTGCTCAGCAAATGTTGAGGAAATAACTAACTGTAGGCAACAAATGACTGCTTGAGAATTTGCAACAACCTATTTCATCTGTCTCACGGCAGTGTCGAGCTGCAACAAGTGTCTGGGAGTTGTTCAAGTAGAAAGCAGGGTGAGTTTCCAGGATGGGGGTGGGCCTGGGGTACTGTAGCTTCAACTCCTAGTGATTTAATTGTAAACTCAGCTCATCCAGAACTGTTCAGTGTGCCAAGGGTCCTAGCAGAGGGCAGCCCATCCCCCATGGAGGCAGTGTGGACCCTTATCCAAAAGAATATGGCGGTGATACA